AGGTGGGCTCTCAGGGGGAGGAGGTGGGCTATCTCAGGGGGTCGTGGGCTATCTCAACAGTGTAGCCCAGCACTCACTGTGTCCGCAGTGTGAAGGCAGCACTGGTAATGGAGGTAGGCAGGTTGAGCCCCTTGGTGATCTCCCGCCACAGTTTCTTGTTGATGACCTCCACAAGGCCGCCCTTCTCAGTCACCAACACGTACAACATAAACAGGTCCAGGACCTGCTTGGCCATGATGGGGATCCGGTTCACTGGTGTGCCTACAGGACAGGGAGGAGCTGCTGAGGGCAGGGGGGTCACGGGGGTCTGACTCATCCTGGGTAACGTTCTTGGCCATCCCTGTCCTCCCCAACTCCACACCGGGACGTTCTATGTGGCAGCCACAGACACACTCCCCCTAACATCACCCTGGCGATGCCCCTGCTTGCCTCAGGGCAGGGGATGGTGGCCATCCTGGGGACACAGGAGACTCCACAGTTCCCTGGAGTCCCTGCTGCAGGTCTCCAACAACAGGAGCTTCCAAACAACCACAGAGCATCCCCAGAGCCCTTCTGGCTCAGCCCTCCATCCCTCCTCAGCCATCCCCAGAGGGTGGCAGACTCCAGTGGGGGTGGGGAGGGCTTGGCTAACAGGATTTTCAGTCTAAGAAACAGGAACATCCCCCTTGCATCTAGTGACACTCTGGCCTCCTCTTTGTCTCTCAAAACCACCTCCTAGGACATCGTTTCCGACAAGGCCCTGCACCTTGGACTCCAGAGACTCCCACCCCCCAGTCTCTATAGCTCTGGCTGTGAACTCCCCTGCCTCTGCCTCCAGAGTGCTAGGATTAAAGGCATGTGCCACCACCACCATCTGGAGACTCCTAGAGAATGTTCGTATGCCCAGCCTAACCCCAACTTGAGCTCGTGCCTGGGAAGTTCTGGCTCAGGCGGCTTTCTCTGCTATCCCGGTCCTCAACCTGGGAGGCACTCAGCAGAGAACACTGAAGACTGCCAGGTCTCGGGTATGGGGACCACTCACCTCTATCTCATAAGAGGGGGGGCACCTCCACCCCCTTTATTGATGGGGAAACTAAGGCTACACAGCCTGGCTCGCCTGGTGCAGGGACTCCATGGCCCCAAACACCCAGCACTGAGAGACCCTCTCCCAATCCTTAGCTACTTCCTGCCTCTCCCACGCTGCAAAAACTCCCTGTGCGAACCAAGGGGAGAGCCCAGGGCAGCCCCTGTGAGGTCTCGAACCCACCACCCTGTATGATCGCAGGTCAGGCATAAAGGGAGGCCAGGAGGTGGGCAGGCCAGTCTCAGCCGGAGCCCAATGGAGGGCTGAGGCTGGGGTGAAGGAAGGGTGGGGGACCTGCCAGGGGCACAGGCAGGACACCTCCGCCCATTTCCCATCTCCAGAGACTTCTGGGGGAAATTTCTTTCAAGCTCTTGGCTTTCTGATTCCAGGAGTCCTGTGTCCCTTCCTAAGAAGGACCCGTGGGCAGTAGGTTGTGCTGACCGGGTGAGGGTGGTGGTTTGAATACCAGCTCTCAAAACCGAGGCCTTCAGAAGAAAAGTACCGGACATGGCAGTGGGCCTGGGGTTTTGAGGGATACACAGGAGTCTGTGCTTGGCCTGGCGAGGGAGGCAGGGGTAAATGCGGACTTTCTGGCCCTTTGTGGTCAGCGGCTGCACTACAGCATTGAGGTCCCTGGCCTTGCTGACCCCATTATGGTGGGGGTGGTGAGTAAGATGGTCAGCTCTGAGGCCCCAAGGCAGTTGGGGCCCTCCTGCTGTGTGCCGGGCTAGGGCAGGTGGGGACTCAAGATAATTGAGGGAGGGGGATCTCTCTGGCCACACGAGGGGCAGCAGGACTGGACTCGCCGATAGCACAGGGACATCCCCACACCCACAGGGACCTGCAGGCCCCACCCTCACATGGAGGGGTTAACTCAGAGGCCACAGTACCCCCTTCTCTCTCTGCCTTCCGGTGGGCAGGCCTGGAGGCTTGTGTTTACAGAAGCTGGGCCCCAGCGACGTCCCCTCCGCCCCTTCCTGCTCCCTGGCTGAAGCCTTGACCCTCCTTGGGCCTCAGTTTGCTCCCTTAGAACACAGAGATTACGACTTAGCCTGTCCCATCCTGAGGGAGACTGAGTCTCCCGGGGTCTCCATCCACCTGAAGCTGGGGGCTGGCACAGAGTTTGGGGAGCACTCCCCCATGGGAGGACTGCCTTGCTCCCCATCACACCCTCCTGCCCTGGGAGGTGCTCACCCCGTTTCTGCATGAAGCTGAAGAGGTCATCCAGGAACTCCTTCCTCTTGGGGTCTCCGTCCAGTTCATAGAGCTGCGGACAGAGTGGGCACGGGTCAGCAGGATGAAGGGACGGGGGAGGGAGGCTCTCAGTCAACCCCACACAAGCTGCAGACAGTTCTGACCCCTCCACCATGTGCAGGGGTCACTAACCAATGCCCCCATCCGAGGCGGGGGCACCAGGCCCTTCCCTCCTCTCCTGCATTAGAAGCTCTGGGCATGATCCCACAAGAAACTGCGGTATAGAGACAGTGACAGTTCTGTGGGGCACCTGGAGTCCCCTGGCTCGTCTCCTATGTAGTGTGACCCTCTGCCCACCCAGGCTGTGGCACTGGCTGCTGTCACAGGATTGTCCTGGGACTCACTGCCGAGCCGGGGAAGTGGGCGGAGGTAATGAGACCGCTCAGCTGAATACCAGGCCTCAGATTAACTACCAGGAATGCAGCTGGCTGGACTGTGGGGGGCCTTGAAACCACCAATTACACCTGGGTCTGCATGAGCCACCATTTAGTCTCCAAAAGCTTGGTGGATCCTCAGGGCGGGCCCCCCGCCGGGGGCCATCTCCAGACCATCCTTCCAACAACTGCCCCCAAGGACTAGGCTTCTCCATCTGCTCAATGGGGATCGTGGACAGGGTGGACAACCTTCTGCCCTGGGTGGCCATAGCTGCCAGCTGCCCAACCGTCCAGCTTTGTCTATGCCCCACCCGGGGCAGCCAGCGCCAGACTGGCCAGCCCACATTCCTAAGTTCAGGGAGGCCGCTGCTCTCCCTCTCCAGGCTGCCTGAGGGATGTGGGGCCTTGCAGGTAACCAGGGCTGCCCTCCCTGCACGGGGCCTCTGGGTGCCCTACACAAGCACCTGGGGCCAGCTGGAGTCCTCCGTGCCTTCCCAAGGGGGTTCTGCCTTCGCTGGCGGGGGTACACAGCACGGGAGAGTGAGGCTCCATGGGGGATCCACGGGTCGATATGCCCCGTAAACAGCAATCACTCAATAAAGGCTTCACCCTACAATTTGATTTCTTCGAGGGGCTACCTAAGCAGGGTGGGACAGGTCATGAATGGGCAAATGATGGGCAGATATGTGACCAGGGACATGGTCAGAGCCCCCAACTCTGAAAAGGCAGGAAGGACTCACCCCGGGGGGCTTGAGATCTATGCAAAGCCCAACATGAACCCTTTCCTGGATAAGGGACAGTCTACAGGGCCCACCACCCTCCTGGGCTTGGTCCCCTGCACAAGGCACCATTGGGGCCTCCTTCCTCAGTTTCCTCATCTTCCTTGAGAGGCAAAAAAATGTAGCCAGCCCTTGAGGGTAAGGTTCAGAGGGTGGAGCACTAGCCCAAACCCCCAGCACCCCAGAAACCAGGTGTCTCTGTGGTACACACCTGTCAAGCCAGCATTCAGGAGACCAAGCCGGAGGGTCGTGAGTTCAAAGCCAGCCTGGGCTACAGGAGACCTTGTCTCAAAAAACAACTGTCACCCCCCAAAATAACACTTCTATCTTGAGTTTCAAAGCATTGGTGTCTTTGGGGAAACTGAGTCTCACGAGGTGGGCAGCTGCCTTGTAAGGGAAGGGCACCATGGGTGCCATTCTAACAGCAGGGACTGATGTCTGCAGAGACAGGACACCAATTCAAAGCCATAAAGGGGGACCCACGGGGATCCCCCAGCTGCCTGTGGGGGAAGGGTCGACACAAAGACAAGCCATAAAAGCCCCTTTATGAGGATATCTGGCCCTCCTGGCTGACCTCTGGGAGGGGAGCATCCCACCCTGGAGGGCAGGCTCCCAAGGACAGTGTCTAGGCCTGTCTTCCAGCCACAGGCCCAGCAATCTGAGGGGTTTTTGCCTGTTTTTCTCGTCTGGACTCAGACAGAGTACACAGCAGTTGTCTAATAAATGCTCGTTAAATATGCATGACTTCTTATGGTGGGGGTCCGCTCCCTGCCATGTAACCCTGGCGACCCACAACCACGCTGCTTCAGTCGCTCACTGCCTTCAGGTTGCCAGGATAAAGGCAGACAGCAGGCGCTTCCTAGGTGCACACTGCTCTCTCACCTCCCCTTCACGGCTACCCAAAGGCTTCCTCCTTAGGAGCCTGACCCTGGATCACACTGCCCAGCTCCCTCTGATCTTACTAGGAGATCTATTTGTTTTGGGGTTTTGGCTTTTCTTGTGGGGGGTTTCAAGACAGGGTTTCTCTGGGTAGCCCTGGCTGTCCTGGAACTCGTTCTGTAGACCAGGCTGGCCTCGAAGTCAAGAGATCTGCCTCCTCTGCCTCTCGAGTGCCCTCTCTTATTTTTCCTTCACAGGGCTGTCATTCTCAATGGTCGTCTGGCTTTTCTGAGGCAGACCTGAGTGGACACACCACAGCCACCCCCTGCCAGACCTGGCTGGTCCTGCGGCCCAGATGCCCATGGTCACATCCCATCTGTAGGTTTCTGTTCTGACCACACCTGGGCAGCCAGGGCCTTTCCCACAAGGGCCCAGGGCGGTGGCCTCATAGCCAAGGGGCCCTGGCTGTCCCCGGCAGTAAAAGAAAAAAAAAAAAAAAAAAAACCACTGTTCTCTGTGTGTGTAAATGTGTGAGGGGCCCCCGAGAAGAGAAAACCTTTGTCCCCCAGACTGTGGCAGACCAGGCCCCCTGCCAGCTCCCCAGGGTTCCAAAGTCCACAGGGCCCCGCCTTGGAAGGGTGCCAGGCGGGGTGGACCCCAGGAACAAAGACATTCGAGCAGGGCCTGGCCTAGCCCCAGGATGGGCGCTCCCTGCAGTTACCCAGTTTGGGGTACAACAGGGGACAGAGGGGCTGTCTGTGCCTGAGTTTGACACCCTGGTCCCTGTGATAGGTGCACGCCTGCCTGATGGGACAGTTTTGGGTTTTCTTTCTTTTCTTTTCTCTCTTTTTGTTTTGCTAGGTGCCCATGAGTCCAGACTGGCCTTACCTGAAGCAATCCTGACTCTCTCCGGCAGTACTGGGACCACAGGGTGTAGCCCCCCAACAACCTGGCTGGAGGGGTTTCTAAAGCCACATTAACACCTGCTGTGGGAGCTCAAGCTGCCTTCCTCTTTAGTGATCAGAAAATGCAGGTCAGATTTGAGTCAGCCCTCCAGCCCCAGAAAAGCCATCTGGGGACACAGGGACCTTGAAGGCCCTGGAGAGTCACTGCCAGATTGGCAGGCATGAGTGAATGAGAGGAAACTGAGTCTCCCTGTCCGCACCCCTCCTCTGTGTGGAGTTTCTAAAACAGCTTCTGTTGACCAGGTGCGGGTGGCAGGGTGGGGGTGGGGTGGTGGCGCACACCTTCAATCCCAGCCCTCGGGAGGCAGAGACAGGCGGATCTCTGTGAGTCCGAGGCCAGCCTGGTCTATAGAGCGAGTTCCAGGACAGCAGGAGCTACAGAGAAGCCCTGTCTCTAAACAAAACAAACAGGCCAGAGAGGTGGCTCAGAGGTTCTAAAGGACCTGAGGTTCGGTTCCAAGCACCCATATGAAGTTTCAAAACCATGTGGGGACCTGGTGCCCTCTTTCAGATGATGGAGATCAGCCCACCCCCACCAATTTAAAAACGTTATGCATATAAATCTGAGATCACATGTAATCACATACCTATCTATTCCAGAACATTTCACCACACGAGAGAAAACACCACATTCCTTTCTAGCCCCTGACACTCAACTCTGTGCTTACCTGTTGGGGCACGGTCTCAGTGAACACAGTGTCCTCAGGTCCCTCACTGTAAGCATGTATGGGGAGACCCCACTGTGTGGTCATTCACCTGTCTCTGGGCTTCAGGAGCCTTTACCCTCTCCACACCGAGGATCTTGACTATTGTCTTTTGTCTTTTGGACTCTGGACAAGACAAGACTTGCAGCCTGGTGGTGGTGGCGCACGCCTTTAATCCCAGCCCTCAGGAGGCAGAAACAGGCGGATCTCTGTGAGTCTGAGGCCAGCCTGGTCTACAGAGCGAGTTCCAGGACAGGCGCCAAAGCTACAGAGAAACCCTGTCTCGGAAAACAAAACACGTGACTTGTAACAAGATCTATAACCAACATCCAAACAATGGCCGTGACATTCCTCTCTCACCTGCATAAAGTCCCATCCACACAGCCACTCAAACACTTCCTTCTCCCAACTGCCCATAAGGAGGGGCTTGGACCTTCAGCATGACCACACATCTCCCCCTTTCCCTCCGCACCAGCCCAGTCCTGCTGGGTGAGTCTCTCCGGAAGCTCACAGTACTTGTCCACACGAGCCTCTAGGCTGGCTCTACACAGCCCTGCCCAAGGGTCTTTGCCCTGTGTCTGATCCTCCCACCCCAGCAAGGCCCTGGGCCCAACAACTCAGCGTTGGGGGCAGTCTGAAGTCTGAGCAGACGTGTACATATTATGCCACGTGTACATATTATGCCAGTGAGTTTCAGGAGTCACCTGGAACCCACTCCTCACTTGAGGAAACCGAGGCAGAGGTGACCTGTGAATGAGAGGGTGCCAAGGACCAGCCGAGCGTGTGACTGACCCTTCTCCGTGGAGACCTAGGATGTGCTGGGACACACCTAACACCCCAGCACTCGGGGTTGAAGCAGAATGGTCATGACTTCCAGGCCAGCCAGGGCTACGTAGGGAGGTCCTGTCTCAACACATCCTAAGAGTCAGAGCCATGGGGAGCCCTACCATGGACTGCAGAGCCAAGAAATCAATAAATGAGCAAATAAGAACCGGACTGGCTCAGCAGGACCCAGGGACAGCATGGACGGGTGGGCGTGGGCGCAGTAGCTACTCCCCCTGCACGGCTCAGTTTATCCACTTCGGCACTGGGCCATCACGGCCCAGAGGTAAGAGGAGGCAGCTGGCCAGAGGACAGGGAGTCAGGTTGGAGATTTGAGGTTCTTATTTTCATATTTGGAAACCCCAGAAGTTTTGCTGCCGTTACTGAATCCTCTCTGTGTATGAGGCCAACGACGAAGAGTTAGACATTTATAACCACACCAAAGGACCAGGCCAGCAGCAGAGGCTACAGCACTGTGTGAAGATGGCAA